TCTCAACCTGTAACCTAAATTTCCCTTGCTGCAACTTAAGACCATTGCTCCTTGTTCTGGCACCTGCTATTGCTGAGCACAGCCTAGCTTAATTTTGGAACTACCCTTCAGGTAGTTGAAGGCTGTTATTAAATTCCCCCTCAGTCTTCTCTTCCCCAGGGTAAATAAGCCCAGTTCCCTCTCTCTCTCATAAGTCATGTTCCCCATCCTTCTAACCATTTTTTTGTGCTCTGCTGGACTTGCTCCAGTATGTCCACACCTTTCCCTAAGTGGGGGCCCAAAACTGGACACAGCACTCTAGATGTGGCTTCACCAGTGCTGAACAGAGGGGAATAATCACTTCTCTCAATCTCCTGGCAATGCTCCTGCTAATACAGTTATGCTGTTAGCCGTCTTCACAACAATAGCACACCGTGGGCTCATATTCAGTTTACTGCCCATTGTAACCCTCAGGTCCTTTTCTGCAGTCTGGTTGTGTAGCCAGTTGGTCCAGTGTGTACCAGTGCATGGGGTTTTTTCCATCCTAAATGCAGGACTTTGCACTTGTCCTTTGTGTACTTCATAAAATTTCTTTTGGTTCAATCCCCCAATTTGTCTAGCTGTCTCTGACTCCTAACCCTACCCTGCAGTGCATCGACTACTCCACCCAGCTTGGTGTCATCCACAAACTCCATCTCATCTTCCAGATTGTTGATGAAGATATTGAACAAAGCCATCCGGACTGACTCTAGGGGCTCTCCATTTGATACCAGCTGACAACTAGAAATCAAGCCACTGATTACTACCCTTTGAGCCCAATGATGTACCCAGTTTTTTATACACCTTGTAGTTCATTCATCCAACCTGTACTTCCTTTGCTTGTTTGCAAGAATGTTGTGGGAGACTGTATCAAAAGCCTTGCTAAAGTCAAGGTATACCACATCCACTGCTCTCCCCACACACACAGAGCCAGTCATCTCATTATAGAAGGAAATCAGTTTGGTCAGGCATGATTTGCCTTTGATGAATCCATGGTGCCTGTTCCTAATCACCTGCTTCTCCAAGTGCTTAGAAATTGATTCTTCAAGGATCTGCTCCATGATTTTTCTAGGGACTGAGGTAAGGCTGACCAGTATGTAATTCCTCAGATCCTCCTTCCCTTTCTTAAAGATGGGCACTACATTTGCCCTTTTTCAATCACCTGGGATCTCACTCAATCACCATGAGTTTTCAGAGATAATGACCAGTGGCTCTGCAATCACATTAGTCAACTCTCTCAGCACCCTGGGGTGCATCTCATCTGGCCCCATGGACTTGTACATGTCTAGCTTTTCTAAATAATTCCTATATAACCTGCTCTTTCACCACTGTTGGCTGCTCGCTCACCTCCTCCTCCAAACTGTGCTGCGAGGTGCAGTAGTCTGGGAGCTGACCTTGCCTGTGAAAACTAAATACTTCAGCCTTTTCCGCATCAGCTGTCACTAGGTTGCCTCCTCCATTCAGTAAGAGGTCCACATACTTGTAAAACGCTTTTTGTTACCCTTCATGTGTCTTGCTAGTTGCAACTCCAATAGCACTTTGGCCTACCTGATTTCATCCCTGCATGGCTAAGCAATACTCACATACTCCTCCCTAGTTGTTTAGCCATGTTTCCACTTTTTGCAAGTGTCCTTTTTGTGTTTTAGCTCACTAAAGAGTTCCCTATTTAGCCAAGTCAGTTCCTGTGCTAAGCCAAGTCTTCTGCTATACTTATTAGTCTTGCTGCACATTGGGATGGTTCATTCCTGTGCCCTCAGTAAGGTTTCTTTAAAGTACAACAAACTCTCCTGGATTCCTTTCAGAAACCATTTTATTTCCAGAATCCATTGGCAATGCTAAAGCAGTGCCAAGGAGCTCTTCCATATATTTTTCTATGTTCCTAGAAGAGGAGAGCTAGCTGGAGAGTGGAAAACTATTCATGGACATTTTGCCAGTCAAACACTAGATTCCCATTTTCCACGTTGCCAACATTTTGTACTTGCTTAGTCATGGGGATTCATGCAAACAAAGTTTTGCTCAATCAAATGTTCCTGGAAAATCACAGTAGGGATTATCTTTGTATCAAAGGGGACAAGGGCATGGACAGAAAGAAAATGACTGAGGTGGGGAACAATGGGCCTGAGCAGAGCTGAAACTAGGATCCACTTCTTGCCCTTGTGGTTCCACTTCTTACCCTACCCTTCAGAAAGGGTAATGCTGCAGTGGTTCAGTTGGAGGCAGAAATAAATTTCTCATGACAATGAGAACCCCTGGCCCTTGGGTCAGATCTCTGCTCTCTGATCTCCAAGCCCGTAAGTCCAAAAATTCAGTGGCAAGGGAGCAGTGGCAGCATTTAATTACCACTCCCATGATGTCAAATCTCTGGACCTATGGTAAGCCCTGTGGGTGGATATCATGGGCCACTCCTTATTTTGAGCGAATTCCTCTTCAGCTGGAGCACTAATGCAACTGGTCTGATAAACCAAGCAAATAAACATCCCTT